TGCTTAAATGCACTTTCGAAGCAGATATCCTGAACCACTAATCCATAAAAAGAACAATATAATCTTATCGAAGAATTATGAGATAGATACAAGTAGATTGTTGGAAGATCATCTTCGGACATCTGTTGTAAGAAAACCTCCTGAAAACGTTTCTGCTTATGGAAACACATTCGGAAGCCTTTTGGATAGCAAAAACAACGAAATTATGTTTATCATTGTTAAGAGTTATTCAAGAAGTACTTCGTTTTCTAACGAATAACAGTATCGGATTAAATGTATGTTTAGAGGAAAAACCCGTGCGACGAGCGTTATTTGTTTCTAGATATCATCTTGAGACATTTTATTATGATTTTGTTACCGAGAGAAAATAGTTAACCGTTAGTGGTAAACTTTTCATGCTTTAGATCTCCCTTTCTTCTTTCAGTACGAGCGTTACATGTGTGGATTCTTTTTTTTGGAGATTTTTAAAGGTTTCTTTCTGTGCGCTGTCTAACTATCTAAGAAAGATGTTTCACAAAAGAAGAAAAGAGACATACGTTCTTGCCATGGATTGCTGAAAAATGTATAGGAACACTGTTTAAAATTATCATTTAGCCTGGCATACAATGTGTAAGCCAATCTTCCAGTTTTTAATTTCCACATATCAATTATTTCTTTCACTTCTTTCTTATTTCCATACGAATCTTGCACAATAGTTGGAAATTTTAACGCAAATCTAATTAAATACAAAGAATAGACTTTTGCGTATGTTAATTACATCTGAAATAATTTTCGTTATATACTTACTCATGTTTTTCAGCGTTGATAACTTTATAAAAAATGGCATTTTTATTGATATCATAAATAATTTTATCGCTATTTTTTATCACTATGGTTTTGTTCTTTTCGTTATACAGTGCACATTCTGGTAATAATGGATTCGTATGTGGTTTGTAATCAACTGTTGCTGCTTTGATGCATATCCATAAATCTTTATAACTCTCCTGGATCTATAACGATTGAATTGAACATTTTTACAAGAACTGAGTGTACTATTTTGGTTGTGATTAGTTAAGTTACTTGCAATTTTGGATAATCTTGGTTGCCTTTCGTTGTCTGAATGTACTGAAAAGCTCGTTGTTTTGCTTGTTCATCTGTATCATCGATATGTCTCAAATCGTTTGCGTAACGTCTATGCTGCCAATTTCTAGGTTGATCTTCATCTTCTGATGTTGGAGCAACCATCAATGGTTGTATAGCTGTAATACAGAAGAAAGAAAACAAGTGTTTTTTATCTCTCTCTCCCTCTTCTGTTCTTACCATCCGGTGATGGAATTCTCAAATCCACATCTTTTTCTTTCCACCAACAATCCCATATTTGTGTTAGAGTGACAGCTGTTTCGCCTAACAAACAATAAATAGAGTTACAGAAAACAGGTTTAAAAATTTTCGAACGGATGAGATATTTTGTTTAGTTAACTAAGCTTAGATTGAAGGAATTAGAATTGTGGGTACTGGCGATGTAAAATTTCAAAAATGAAATTGATTTACTTATGATAAAGTAGAATTTTGTACGTTGATGTTGTTCATAGTTTTTTCATGAAAACTCAGAAAGTAATTAAATAACTAGAGAACTAACTGTCCTACGCTAAGATTGGAAAGTCGAACTGAGTGAAACAATAAACAGATACAGTTCGATAATTCAGAAGGTCATAATATTGTGAAGAGACTGAAAGATCTCAATAGATGACGTTAGGAAACAGTCAGTCGTCCTTTAGCAGCAAAAATGTGTCATATCAGCTGATTCATTATCGTATCATACATCTTGTCATAGTTTGCACTGCGTATATTCACTACGAAGTGAATCATGTGATCATTAGTTAATTCATAGAAAAAACGACAAAGTTTCAGTGAAACTAATTACAGGGCAACTAAAGTAAATATGTGAAAACTAACTTCAGATGTGTCATCTATAATCTTCATACGTTCGAACCCTGTTTTTCTGAATTTTATACGATTTGAGGTAACGAGTGGCTAACTTTTACCAGAAAAGTGTCTATAGAGAAAGAAAAAAAGAAGCAAACAATCAAGAAGAATTTTGCTAGCTGACACGCGAAGTTAAACAGACTAAGTCTTCTATCACTCGATCAACTTAAGGCTCCTCTCTGTCAAAAATCTATTTTTGTCCCAGAATATCCGATCTTGATAAACTTTTCATAGAATATGTCCCTTGTGTTTGATATATCACACAAGAAATTTGAGCTCGAAATATTGAGTTTTTCCAGAGTTATCTTGAAATTAAGGGTCAAAAAGTAGCTGTCCGCAATCGCAGCCACTTCGATACCCTTCGAGGAGGATCAGATAGCATTGTATCCTGATAGTAGTTACTGTGGGCTATATGATGACGTGCTTAGCTCAATATCGAATAAAAAATTTATGCTTTTGACGGAGGGAGCCTTGATTAGTGTCTTTTTCAAAAATCAAATACATACTCTTATCATTTTCTATTTCCATTAGCTCATTTGAATTGAAACTATTATAATCATACAATTGAATTAATTTATTTAATAACTGTATACCAAGTTGATCTTTTTCATTGGAACAATTATCGCCAGCCTCAGCTTGTTTTTTAGTAATAGACCTAAACCATTGTAAACAATCTACCATAATATGAAAATAAATATACAAAAATGTGATTATAGACGGTGAATACTAATTACCATCAATAGTATTTAGAGATGATGGAGATTCTGGAATGTGTGACTGTATATGAAACCGTTCAAAGCCAAGAAGTAAATTAATTGTAGTTTCAACCAGATTTTTACTACTATTGTTTGAGATTGTTATGCTGCTATCTGTTGTAACTAAAAATCGACATTGGAGTTAAAATAAAATGTTTAATAATTAACAGAAAAGAGGAATAGTACTTGAATTAGTTTGTTGTTTTGATGTTGGGCGATCTGGAAGAAAAGAAGCAGAATGACTGAGAAAAACTGTGTAAAAAGGGGCAATTAATGTACCATTTTTAAACAATGTTGGAAACTCCATATTAGTATCCGTCAATTCAGGTAACACAACAGATAAATCAATATTTTCATTTATATATGCTAAAGCTACATCTACATTTGAATAACATGTTTGTATATCAGTACTTTCGATTGAATGTAATGATGCAGCTTGTATTGTTGGAATGTGTCCTATAAAACAAATCAAACAAAAATGAAATAGAAATAAATCTCGAAAAACAACAACACAATAAAATGATTATTACCTGTTAGATGAATTGTTTGAATAAAATTATCGATTAAGTCTTGAACTGAATTGCCATTTTTATTAAATTTTGTTAAACTTAGATATTGATTATTAGTCCTTGTTAAACGTAATATATCATAGTGAGAAGCAATTATATTACATAATAAATATCCGTAATGTTTAAAACCATAATTTCTACCAAAACATACTATTTGTTCAACTTGAACATTTTTCAATACTATAACAATTAATTCGATCTCATACCGCTCAGCTAAAATTTGTAATTCAATATCGCTACCATAGCCATCTTTTTTTATTTTTTGACAATATTTATCTCTAGAGTTTTTACCATCAATTAGTATGTCTGATCCATAATTTCGTTGTATAATAGCAGCTACATAATCTCTATCATTTTGTATTTCTTCTTGTGTTATAACATAAATACCATCATTTACAATAGTCAAGATTGAGCGAAATAAACATGAACCACCTATACCAGAAATTTGATAGCGACCAAATTCTATTTGCTTGTCCATATTAATGGCACTAAACATCAATAATCTTAAAATAAAAGATACACGTCAAAAATCAGTTTCAGTTGATGAAAATGTTAGTAATTACAGAAGACCATCTTCGAGTACAACAACGATAGAAAAAAAGAAGGAAAAAAAGTGCCCTGTCTATTTCTGGTAGAACGGAGAAAAAAGGAAAAAGCGTATTTTTTTTGTCTGTTCTTCGGTTAAATGTTGCACTGCAACAATGTATTTGATGGTTTAAACCAATCTGTCACGTGTATTCACATGTGACCACCGAAATAATCATTATAAAAAATTGAAAAACTACCTTGTAAAGAGAAGATGAATTGATATATAGAAAAGTTTAACTATTAATAAAATTTGTTTAAAGTGGAAAGGATTCAACAACTTAAGAGCAACCTCCCATCAGAGCCCGAAACGAATCGAATGATGAAACGAAACGGTTCGATTCGGCTGCTTGAATCAACCACTCAGTTAAAAACAAACGCTTGGTCAAGCTAAGCTATGATGACATCGTATAAATTAACAAGTTTTGTGATCACTAAGGTAGAGATCCTTTTCGATCTGTTCTTTGGCCAAAACATCAGCCAATCAAAAGCGAAAGGCTATTTACTTTATTTTTTGATTTCCAATGAATTGTAAATTCAAATATCAGACTATTTTTTACATTCGGAACTTTCTTCTAAGAGCTGGAATGAAGATCACTCTGAGGCACCACGCCCCCAATGAAATAATCGTATTAGAAACAACGGCTTTATTTTCTTTTTAGATGTCAGCCGCAAATGTTGAAGTAAACGTTTGATCAAAAGTGCATCAAGCACCCAGCAACTATATTTTCAAACAAAAACCTTTAACTAATTTTAATCGAATTTATATCCTGATCGGGATATAAAACACGAAATTTCGTCGTAAAAACGATTAATGGAAAAATGACGAGATTTTGGGGTAAAACTGACGTCACCATTCAAAAGAGCTCGAAAAACTACATCGGATCTTCCTTTTCGATGCCTACATACATTGAAACACAATTCTTTTCTCATGCGTCGACAATATATAAATATGCGTGCTTTGCGTTTAACGGGAAATTTTCTAACTATCCATTCTTGCAGATAAACTGCGTTATGTTCTCTGAGCACCTTTCAATTTATCAGACTTAAATTCTGTAACGATTGGACCCGTATGGTGTTTTTGCATTGATGTTTTGGAAGGCATAATTGAATCAAGTGAATTATTGATAGTTATAAGAAGTCGACGAACAAAAGAACATTACAAATGTATGGTAGATGAAACTGTGCGTGGTAACGACTTTGTCTCTATCTTCTATTATATTTTATACTACACTCATATACTCTATCGAATGACATATGAACGAAGGGAAACGGAGGGTGTCACCTCGGAACGTTCCTCCTCAGTATAATTCTGACAAAATTCTACTAATTCTATGTACGAACTCATAGCATTTGATAGATTCCTAAACGATTTCCTGTGTTTCGTAGGCTCCTATATGACGCAGGATTACCCATTTAGTTTGCATATAGTCAAACGTTTTCATTGATGTAAATAAAAGTCCGTTAACTTATCAAAATTCGATGAACTCTTCTAAACTAATTATATAATCTATCTTACTGAATTCTTATCAGAATCTTATAGAAATCTTGTCAATATCTTAAGCATTTCGATCGAATGCCTTATATAAGATTTTTGTAAGATTTCTATATAACTGCCGTAAGTTCGATCGCTTAGGGATGTCTGCATCATTGTAATAAACTTTGTTGTTTAGTGTTTAGACAGACTATAGTAAATTGTAAAAGAAAAGCACCACACGAGTATACGTACATCTCATTTATCTTATTTTTTCCATCGATGAATAATTCGAATACATTTTCTAGTAAATTCTTTTAGATAATACTCAACTAGATATAAAAATAATTCTACAAAAGTATAAAACAAGTAGTGTTTTTGCACTTATTAGAATACATTGACCAAAATTTATACAACATCCAGATGTTTCATTATTTTTGTCTTAACTGATACACATATGTCTGAATAGTTTTTGAACCCATAAATACTTTTTATCATATTATTTCGTTTGACATATATATATAAAATGCATAATACGAGGGATCACACTAATGACTAATACAAGGTTATACGCTAAGATTCTTTTTTTAAAAATAAATCTTATATATAGTCTGCATTTACATACAGAGTTATATTAAGGGATAATCACATCAGTAATTATAGTTCAGCGCCTTTAGCAAAACTAGTATAGCTCTGCAAGACGAAATCGTACAAACATGCTGGACATCTCATTCTGATCAAAACACTCTGCTCAACATAGCTTTACGTCTACTAAAACGGACAACCCAGAAAATTTTAACTAAAATGTGAAATTTAGAAAAAGGTGAGTTTTAGGGCTTTCATAAATCTTTTTCATAAATCTCCAAAAACATTGAATTTTTGGCAAACTAAAATGGATTCTGACAGATGACACTTTGGGACACTGACGGCATGGTTATTTCAGCGATGGTTTCGAAGAAAACATCGTATTCCACTGGGCAGGGCGGCTAACGCCTTCATTTTACAAATGTGTAAAAATTATTATGTGCATGCGAGATTTTGTGTATTTGAAGGTAATTAGTGTGTATAGTTTCAATTGTCACATTTGTATTTATTTCCTTGACTGGAAGTCTTGGGTCATACAAACGAAATGTCCGTCCGTCCGTCAGTGTGCAATAGTAGAGTAGTGACACCTGACGCCACTTAAACGTAAATTAGCGACATATTGACATTCGAGGAGGAAAAGCACGTAATTACTACTTTTCTCAGCAGCAAGACATTCTAGATCTGCGAGCCTTGAATAAAAAATGTCAGAGATTAAATTTCACATATTAAATCTGCTGGCATCCGTTTCGTTAATTAGCGAGAAAAACGCTAATGTTTGATAATTCACACTTTTCACCGTGAAGCAAGCATCTGACAAATTTGGCTCTCGAACCGAAAATGTCAGAAATTAAATTTTACATATTTTATGTGCTGGCACCAACTTCGTGACGATCAGCAATGACGGACTGTTTGATATGCGTTATTATGCCGTTTGTTGGGTGGTTTTTTATTCATTTTTCATGTTTTTTGTTGTGGTGCAGGTGGTTGCTTTTGTGCGACACCTGGTAGTAGACGTGTGTGTCGTGTTTCGTAGTTGTATGTTCAGCACCGGTGTGTTTGTGGTTTTGTGTGGTTGGTGCTTTCTAGAGTGTCGGAAGCCATATACTGTTGCTGCGGTGCAGATTCGTTTATGGTATACTGCGGTTTTGGTAATGTTGTGTCACTCATACTTTTCTTCATTTGTTTTTGGTATTAGTTTGGTTTTGGGGCGGACTGTATCTTGTGTTTTCGAGTTAGCGGTTTGTTTATTGATCGTTGAAGGAAGGACTGCCGAAAGGGTTGGCAGTGACTTGTTCGTTGATGTTGATTAGAATGTTTAGTGTTGACGCGTATCTCGCCGTCTGCCCTAGTGAAACTTCTTGTAACCAAGATCTTGACTTCTTGAATTTTTTCAGTAAGATCTTGATTCAAGATCTTGGTAAGAAAATATAAGAATTCAAGAAATTTCAAGAAGTCAAGATCTTGAACAT